TTCAAACCACTGTGTCTTTGTGAGACGCAGTGTGGATGAACGGATGATCTCCGCATGTGTAGTTCCCACCGTAAAACATGGAGGAGGAGGTGTTATGGTGTGGGGGTGCTTTGCTGGTGACACTGTCTGTGATTTATTTAGAATTCAAGGCACACTTAACCCAATTGAGATGGTTTGGGATGAGTCGGACCGCAGAGTGAAGGAAAAGCAGCCAACAAGTGCTCAGTATATGTGAGAACTTCATCAAGACTGTTGGAAAAGCATTCCAGGTGAAGCTGGTTGAGAGAATGCCAAGAGTGTGCAAAGCTGTCTTCAAGGCAAAGGGTGGCTATTTGAAGAATTTCACATATAAAATATATTTTGATTTGTTTAACACTTCTTTGGTTACTACATAATTCCATATGTGTTATTTCATAGTTTTGATGTCTTAACTATTATTCTACAATGTAAAAAATAGTAAAAATAAAGAAAAACTCTTGAATGAGGTGTGTCCAAACCTTTGACTGGTACTGTACGTTTTAAACATAAAATGACAGTGTCTTTGGCATATTCCACCTATATGAGGTGACCTATAGTTGATAATGAGCACAGTCAGCACCACAGATATGTGTGGTCTGGCAGGGTGCTGTATGTTTCAGACCTATTGATCAGCTGTAGAGCCACACAACATGATCTCTCCATACTGTTCCTGTGTTGATCACAGAACTGCAGACGTATGCAGGAAGCATCAGGGCTCCTGTGGCAGAGTCACTTTCTTTGCGTGTGAGAGGGTGCAGCACGATAGTCAGAATATCTGTAGTGAAACTTGTGTCGGTTGCATATCTGTGTGAAGGTTGTGTAATCCCTTCAGACCTGTTGACGTGATTTCATCTCAGTCCGGAAATGACTTTGCTGAAATATTTAGTTCAGATGCCTCTGACTCTCTCTCTGTGGTCCACATTTATCACACAGCATATTCACTAGAAACCCTCTTCCGCTCTCTCTGCCCTGAACTAAGAAAGCAGTCAGATCTGTTGGACTTCCTCAGAAAGAGAGTCATTCCCCTGAGGAATAGTCTCACCCTGGTGTGAACTGATCTCACTGTTAAAGTCTCATAACACACATTCCTTATCTGTAGGTGGGACGTCAGTAGGGCGGTCCCACTTGTGGTGTTTCCCATAAAGGTCTCTGTGGTCAGACGCTAGTCAAAGGTCAAACTAGTTTAGTGTGATAACAGGCCTTTCCACAGGAAATCACATAACTAAGGCCTGTGTCCTAATTGGCACACTATTCCATTCATAGTGCCATACTTTTGACCTTTGGGCCCTCATCTAAAGTAATGCACTATATAGCGAATAGGGGGCCATTTGGGACGTCCACTAACACTGCTTTTCTAACCTCTATGTGCCTTCTAAATGTCATACTTTTTTGCAGCTCTTAGCTCAGTGACAAAGCTAAAATAGACCAACTAAGAAATCTGATTTGTTAACACAAATTGAATCCAAACACTATGAAATTCAATTTAGAGACAGAGATTTGTTGTTTGTACACCGAGATTCACTCTCAATTAAAGTGAAGTACAAGCAGACTGATGCTAAGGGGGCCTGTCACAATGACCTGATTAATCTACCAACATGTATTCATGCAAAACAGTGTTCCAAATGGCACCATATCCCCTACATAGTGCACTACATTGGGGCTCTGGTCAAAATTAATGCAAGATATAGGGACTAGGGTGCCATTTGGGATGCATGCAGACTCTCATCCACATCCATATCTTCTGTGTACCATATACTGTAGGATGTCATGTGTTTCTGTGAAAGTGACTGTGTGATTGATGAGGGTTGCAGTGTAGATCTGGTGACTGTGGAACCGTCAGTGTGTCTCTATGATATACAGTGGCTTGCGAAAGTATTCACCCCCCTTGGCATTTTTCCTATTTTGTTGCCTTACAACCTGGAATTAAAATAGATTTTTTGGGGGTTTGTATCATTTGATTTACACAACATGCCTGCCACTTTGAAGATGCAAAATATTTTTTATTGTGAAACAAACAAGAAATAAGACAAATAAACAGAAAACTTGAGCGTGCATAACCCAAAGTCAATACTTTGTAGAGCCACCTTTTGCAGCAATTACAGCTGAAAGTCTGTTGGGGTATGCCTCTATAAGCTTGGCACATCTAGCCACTGGGATTTTTGCCCATTCTTCAAGGCAAAACTACTCCAGCTCCTTCAAGTTGAATGGGTTCCGCTGGTGTACAGCAATCTTTAAGTCATACCACAGATTCTCAATTGGATTGAGGTCTGGGCTTTGACTAGGCCATTCCAAGACATTTAAATATTTCCCCTTAAACCACTCAAGTGTTGCTTTAGCATTATGCTTAGGGTCATTGTCCTGCTGGAAGGTGAACCTCCATCCCAGTCTCAAATCTCTGGAAGACTGAAACATGTTTCCCTCAAGAATTTCCCTGTATTTAGCGCCATCCATAATTCCTTCAATTCTGACCAGTTTCCCAGTCCCTGCCGATGAAAAACATCCCCAAAGCATATGATGCTGCCTCCACAATGCTTCACTGTGGGGATGGTGTTCTCGGGGTGATGAGAGGTGTTGGGTTTGCGCCAGACATATTGTTTCCTTGATGGCCAAAAAGCTTTTAGTATCATCTGACCAGAATACCTTCTTCCATATGTTTGGGGAGTCTCCCACATGCCTTTTGGCGAACACCAAATGTGTTTGCTTATTTTTTTCTTTAAGCAATGGCTTTTTTTCTGGCCACTCTTCCGTAAAGCCCAGCTCTGTGGAGTGTACGGCTTGACAGATACTCCAATCTCCGCTGTGGAGCTTTGCAGCTCCTTCAGCGTTATCTTTGGTCTCTTTGTTGCTTGATTAATGCCCTCCTTGCCTGGTCTGTGAGTTTTGGTGGGCGGCCCTCTCTTGGCAGGTTTGTTGTGGAGCCATATTCTTTCAATTTTTTAATAATGGATTTAAAGGTGCTCCGTGGGATGTTCGAAGTTTCAGATATTTTTTTATAACCCAACCCTGATCTGTACTTCTCCACAACTTTGTCCCTGACCTGTTTGGAGAGCTCCTTGGTCTTCATGGTGCCGCTTGCTTGGTGGTGCCCCTTGCTTAGTGGTGTTGCAGACTCTGGGGCCTTTCAGAACAGGTGTATATATATATACTGAGATCATGTGACAGATCATGTGACACTTAGATTGCACACAGGTGGACTTTATTTAACTAATTATGTGACTTCTGAAGATAATTGTTTGCACCGGATCTTATTTAGGGGCTTCATAGCAAAGGGGGTGAATGCATATGCACGTACCACTTTTCCGTTATTAATTTTTTATTAATTTTTTTCACTTCACCAATTTGGACTATTTTTTGTATGTCCATTACATGAAATCCAAATAAAAATCAATTTAAATTACAGGTTGTAATGCAACAAAATAGGAAAAACGCCAAGGGGGATGAATACTTTTGCAAGGCACTGTATTGTGGGTTGTCAGTGAGAGACATGATAAGGCTGCACTGTAAGCGTTTTCTCTGACAGCCAGTTGGGCTAGGGTGGTGGTGGTGGGGGTGCAGTTTAGCTGAATATGCTGTGATTGTTTGTGCACGCCTGTGGCTGTGAAGACAATGGCAGCATGTGTGTGTGCTAGCTTTTCTCCCATGCTGAATAATACCATGGTGGGGTTGATTCCCACTTGATTGTCAAAGCCCTGCCAATTGTGTCAGCGTGTCAGTCCGTGCTGTTCACTGTTGTCATTGTCAGGACCGAGTTTGTTGTTGTCCTGGAAAACAAACTCCCACTGCCCTTAACTATGTTCCCCCAATACCGGAAGTCAAGTTAAGATAACCTATTTTAAGTAAGATGTAGTGATGTGCTTAGAGGCTTATGATTGTCCAGTGGGTGAATGTTATACTTGTAAAATAAACGTTGTTTGATTCAATAGACTGTATGTGTGTTGTAAGGGAAGGACAGTTCTGTATGTTATAAACCATATAATGTCTGTGCCACACAGCATAGGAGCCTGTCCTACTGCTATAAAAACAAACAATGACAGTGTGGTTTGGTTTGCTGCACAAGCTTCCTGTTCGAGGTTCTCTTCTCAGCTACAGTTTCCTGTATCAAGTGATTCCAATAATTTGTGTTTGATGTCTGATAAGGGCTTGGTACAAGAAGGCCTCAAAACCTTAAAGGACTCCTTAAGGAAATAATCACATATTGATATTTATAAATAAAGCAATTGAGGAACATAATCTTATGAGAAAAAGCTGGTTACAAATTAATAAATCATCAAAAGAACACATTTTACTTTCAAATGTCTCCCCCTCATCCTGTGAGTGGACTACATGTCCCACTCATTTCATCTCATTAAAATGAATAGAACCCCTCTCCATCTTTCTTGTTATGATTAGCCAGGAGGGAAAACAAGTCACTTGACTTGAGTATGCTACACTGGACAGTCTCTCACCTGCATTGACCAGGCCTGCTACACTCTATTTTAAGGAACCATTATTCATGCCTCTTTGTTTCACTCCATAAAGGGAAGGCATAAAGGGTAGGCACTTTCCCTCCTATCTAGCTAACGAGTGTGCGATTTAATTATTGTGTTCTTGTCTGCTCTGTCTTTCACCCACTGTACTTTATTTCTGCACGGGGTTATTTGGGGGTTTTGCAGACTCTTTGTTTGACAGCCATTCTTTCAATGTAATCTGTCACAGAGGTGAGGGGTATGACTAACGTGTGGGTGTGTGTATGTATGTGTGTGTGCGTGTGTGTGTGTATGTGTGTGTATGTGTGTGTATGTGTGTATGTGTGTGTGTGTGTGTGTGTGTGTGTGTGTGTGTGTGTGTGTGCGTTTGTGTGCGTGTGTGTGTGTATGTGTGTGTGTGTGTGTGTATGTGTGTGTGTGAGTGTGTGTGTGTGTGTGTGTGTGTGTGCGTGCGTGTGTGTGTGTGTATGCATGCGTGCATCTTCATGTTCGTGTGTGTGTGTTTGTGTACCCTAGCAGACATCACTCCCCACTCCAGGATGTGTGACTGTGACGTGGACGTGTCCTCGGAGCCCAACAGCCCCACGCTCTACGGCGAGTCCTCTGACAAATACTACCATGTGGACCGCTGGCAGAAGCTCCGCACTGCCGTCCGCAAGCTGGAGTTCTGGGAGAACTTCACAGCCGAGCTCATTGGAAGCGGCTTCTTCTCCAAAGTCTACAAGGTTCCTGTTCCCTCCCTAGCCATCTGTATTGAACGTAGCATATATTACCTATATAGTGCACTACTTTTGACCAGAGCCCTAGGGGTGCCATTTGGGACGCATTAGGACAAAGAATGCTTTGTGTTGGATCTAATTGGGACATACAGTAGTTGCCATTACACGATTAGTTTACACTCCATCATGGATGCCTGAGAAATGGTACCCAACTGTGCTTCAGCTAACATAACTTCCCCAATCTGCACTCTGTACAGAAGCAGAGCAAATGGAGGAGTAACATGGCATGCATTTAGATTTTGAAGTGGAATGGGCCTGGGGAGAAAGACAGATGGGATGATTACAGAGTTAATCTATTAGTCTACTAGATTTGAACACTGGATGTTCTGAGTAGAGAGAACACTGCTGGAGATAATACTGGCCATCAATATGTTTTATGTTATGTGATGATTTAATCATATTAAGCTATTAATAGAATTGAGCAGTGCCAGTGAGATGGTTAGGTAATACGTCAGAGGGACTGAGTGGAGGTCACTGTAAAACCATGGGGGCTGTTCCGAATTAAAATTAGGGCAGTGTTAATTAATGGCGGTGTTAATGAATTTACTTGCAAAAACAGCTCCTTTCAGACAGACACCTAACAGTTTTTTTTGTACAGGTTTCATGACTAAGTCTTGAGCAGGTATTTTAGTGGTTAAAGGCCCAGTGCAGTCAAAAACTGGATTTACCTGTGTTTTATACATATTTCCACACTATAAGGTTGGAATAGTACTGTGAGATTGTGAAAATTATGATAATGCCCTTTTAGTGTAAGAGCTATTTGAAAAAATCGCCTGAAATTTCATTCTGCTTTGGTGGATTGGAGTTCTGGCCTTCCATGGTGACATCACCATGCTGTAAAATAGTTAATAATAGACTAATAACAAAGAGAGTTCCAAACCTCTCTGCCAATAACAGCAAATGTTCTGTTTTTCCCTCCCCACTCGGACCACTCCCAGACAGTTCTGGCAAAATTCTTGCTTATGAAATTGCTCTTTGCTGAGAAGCTATTTTTGTTTATTTTAATTGAAAACAATCAAAGTAAGGTACTTAATTGTTGCCCAGAATTATTAGAAATTGAGATTGAAAAAAACAGCTGCATTGGACCTTTAATCTGTAAACCCTTGTCTGTTTCTCTCAGGTGATTCACAGTACGACTCGTAAGGTGATGGTGGTGAAGATATATAAGAATGATGTGGACCAGGATAGCATCGTGCGTGAGATCAGCCTACTGCAGAAACTCTCCCATCCCAACATAGTCAGGTATTAGTCAGTTACTCACTTATACATTTTGGTATATGTCCTTATTGATACCAATTGGAATGCAGGGAAGGTTTGCTTTGTCTACTATGTGGTGCAGTCAATGGCACAGGAACATAATAGCCTAGTAGTCACAAAGGTAAATTACCCCTCTGAAGTGGTTACATAAGCTGTGAAGGCATAGTTTCAGGTGGATATTATGAAGTGCACCACAGAATCATGGCATACCTTTCCTGCATTCCAGTCCATAATATAGGATATTATACTGTATACTGTATTTACATACTTATATACTGTATATTATGTTGTACACGCTCAGAAATGTACCTTAAAAGTGCCAATAGTGTACCTTAGGGGACAAGGTAGTACAGGCACGAAAGCGTACCTTTGGAAAGGGTACAAATCTGCCTGTTTAGGGTACCACCACAGTGACAAAGCCGTTTGTTCCTTTTAAATGGCAAACATTGGGTGTTGTTTTACACTGTAGGGTGTATGTACCAACAAAAAAAAAAGGGTATTGTTTTAACACTGTAGGGTGTAAAGCCTTATTTGCATATTTCCCAGGGTGCCTTTCAAGTGCATTTTAGAGTTTACCCCATCTGTGGTCTGAAACTGTTGGTTTGCAGGCCACATCAGGCAAGGAACATTATGCTGTCTTGTAAAGTTATATGTAATTCCTATTGAAATACAGGCAGAGTTAGGATATCCCAAAATTGGAACTTTTAATCACCCAGATGATGCATTTAGAATGACTGCCAAGGTAGGGAAAATGTATAAATGAGACTACCTAAACCATCTAAACGGGAACAACCATCTCAGTAACGGGTGCAATAAGTCCAACTACTAACAGATTGGATTAGTTTCGAAAAATATATGTCATTTATCTTTGTGTAGCATAAGATCAATCAATCAATGTGCATGCAAAAAACACACATATTGAAACAAACAATTCTAAAAATCGAACTACAATAGAGCATGCTGGGAAATATGATAACGATTGCAATAGTTTTTGAGAGTGTGTGATGATTGTACCTTTATATTCAAAATATTGGGTACAAAAATGCACCATTATACTAGATTCTTCGCACATTTACCCTAAATGTACCGAACAGGTACCTCTGATGGTACATTAGGTGTATTTTGATGTTTTTGAACCCCAGGGAACAATACTGTACCCTAACCATACCCTTTTTATCTGAGAGTATATATTGTATATATATATATTTTGGACTGGAATGTAGCGGAGGTACGGGTATGCTGCTGAGTCTGTGAGGCGCAGTCATGGGCACAGCAGGAGGCGTACAATAACACCTTGTCACGTAGGCCCACTCTACCGCTATGAGAAGTGGTTACATAAGGTGTGAAGGAATAGTGTTTGTCCAAGCAATCTTATTAGCCTTTTCGCAAGGTCACAGTATCAGAGGGAATCAAACAGCGCAGTGTATCTGCTGATGTCAGAACATAGAGAGTCAGTGATAATGCAATATGTACCTGGCACAGACAGGGCATCCATCCCTCTGTGAGTGGGCACTACTCAAACAATGATGTGAAAACATAGCCTTCCTCAGACACAGTGGGTGAATCCCAAATGGCACCCTATTACCTACATAGTGCACTTTCTTTTACCAGAGCCCATAGGGTGCCATTTGGGACGCACTCACTGTGTTTGAGGAAGGTAATGTTCTCAGGCTCTGACGTCAGAGCAATATAATAAAATGGAGACTGACTTGTTCATGTCATTGGTAATAACCTTTCAGTGAAGGATGGAGTTTTTAGGATGTTAATCTCGGCAGCCCAGGCGAGTTTCTCGACATTTTGTCTGTCCACAAGAGACTACCCAGCAAACTGGGAACATTCCCAGGCCATTAGCTAACATTGCTGTGAAGTTAGGGTTCGAGCAACATTATAATAATAATAATAATATGCCATTTAGCAGACGCTTTTATCCAAAGCCACTTACAGTCATTAGAATGATAACGTCCCACAAACTTTCAAAGAATGTTATTTATCACCAAATATTATTTCAAAGTAAACTTTTGAATCGAAATTTCCTTGGAATGTTCTCTTAACATTCACTAACATGTTGTTCACAACATCTGTAATAACTACCACAGAACATTCCCCTAAGGTTCTTATTAGGTTGCCAGGGAATGTAATAATACAATGTTCCTGTAATATTCTTCAACATTCTGCTGCAACAAAATGTGGGAGCAATGAAAGTAGTTCTGAGGAAACATTACAGGAACGTTCTGCTAATGTTGAAGGATATGTTATCCTAAACAACATGCAGCGAACATCCCCGCAAGACTGTCATATAGTTATAGTGTGTTGTTATGTCATGATTGTTCCAGTGACTTTCCCTGAACATACTGTACTTCAGCAATACAATGTTGGAGCAATAGAAGATGTTCTGAGAAAACAGTCCTGGAATATTCAACTAATGTTGATAGAGATATTACTACAAACACCTATAACAACAAAAAAGAAACATTCCGTCAAATTATTCTGTAATGTTATGACATATGATGTTCCAATAATGTTCTGAAAACATACTTCAATGATAATGGAAGTAGTTCTGAAACATTGCTGCAATGTTCTACGAATATTGATGTGTAGTGTTACATTATTATATGAAGTTGCGAAATGTTTAAACAAATGGCATTTCAATCTTCTTACGTCATGATATTTGATAAGGATATTGTTCCAAACATAGTAGGCTGCGTTTAGACAGGCAGCCCAATTCTGATTTTCTTTTCACTAACTGGTCTTTCAATCAATCATATCAGCTCTGAAAAAGATCTGATGTGAAAAGATCTGATGTGATTGGTCAAAAGACCAATTAGTGGAAAAAATATCAGATTTGGGCTGCCTTTCTAAACGCAGCCCATGTCTGCTGTGCCACCAGGATCCTTATGTTTCAAGTGGATTTCCCTTTGCACTGAAATGCTTAAATTATTCATCAAACTATGGCTAAATGTCTTAGTACCTATGCACATCTATGTACACCTCACCACTATCTGTCAGGCAATAATTTAACATAATTTCTGAAATCAAGTGCGTAGGGAAAATAAAAGTCAAAACATCCCAATTTTAGGCTATATAAAGAAGATTGTCAGAGTAAGAAATAACAGAGGATGATTCATTTTCTAGCTTTAGTCATCCTCTCTTTTGCAAAGACAAAGACCACAAGCTGGAAATCAGAATAAAGGTGTGAACAGCTATATATTTGTGTAAATCCCATCCCAGTGGTGCAGTGGATTAATTCCAGGGATAACACTCAAAAGTTCGATCCGAGCTTGCGACTATCTACAAAATACGGTAAAACTATGTTTGTACAATCAATGTGTAATAAACTTCAAAAACCGTATATGTTTTTACAAGAATTGTTCTACAAACAAATTCCTCAAAAGTAAGATAGCACTAACACATTAAAAAAAACTCCATGGACGTTTGAAAACTTCATTTGATCATTCTAGGAATAAGAACATTGAGGGAATGTGTTGTGCACCCTGATACAAACATTGCAAGAATGTCATCACAACTGGACATATTTTGTGTTTTGGGAACCTATATCCAAAATACTATATATCCATTTTAAGAAATGTTGGCAAATTAATTAATTAACTTAAAAACGGGAAGCATAGAAATAGTGCACATAGAACATATCTATCGCTTCTTAGACTTGCTTTTAATGAGAATGACAGATCGATAACTCACATTTCTATATGAATTTGGTCAGGTCGCTTAAAAAGTTACATATTGCAGCTTTAAATGTTTTAGGAACTTCAAAAGAAAATAAAAAAATGTTCTGTTAACATTCTTGCAACATCAGAGAAATGTTTTGTCCACCCTAATACCAACATTGTATAATCATCAACACAACTGGACATATTTTTTGAACTTATATTATTAGAACTTTTAGGGGGAATGTTCTTACACCTTTCCCACAACTTAATGAAATGTTCTGGGAACACTCACAGAACCAGGTTTGCTGGGTAGGTTGTTGATGAATATCTGTCTCAGCTGGTCCTCGAAAATTAATTAACCCCTGATCATCTTATGTACCCTTACTGTATAAATTTTATACAGTAATGAGCTGGGAGACAGATAGTGTGAAGACCGAAGGGGCCGGGATCCGATCGCATATGTACCAACCGCTCAAGCACATAAATTGTATATTCTAACTGTCATTATGTTTCCACATTATAATTCTGTTGTCATTCATTCTAGGTATCTGGGGATCTGTGTGAAGGAAGATAAACTCTACCCTATTTTAGAGGTGATTGTTACTTTCTCCACCTTGGATTGATGACGTGTTCACACTAGTGAGATAAGTGAGGAGACACACTAATGTCTATTTCTGAGACATGTACGTATGTACACTATTATATACAAAAGTATGTGTACACCACTTGAAATTAGTGGATTTGGCTATTTCAGCCACACCTGTTGCTGACAGGTGTATAAAACCGAGCACACAGCCATGCAACCTCCATAGACAAACATTGGCAGTAGAATGGCCTTTCTAAAGAGCTCAGTGACTTTCAACGTAGCACTGTCATAGGATGCCACCTTTCCAACAAGTCAGTTCGCCAAATCTCTGCCCTGCTAGAGCTGCCCTGGTCAACTGTAAGTGCTGTTATTGTGAAGTGGAAACGTCTAGGAGCAACAATGGCTCAGCTGCGAAGTGGTAGCTCACAGAACGGGACTGCCGAATGCTGAGGCGCGTAGCGCGTAAAAATTGTCTGTCCTCGGTTGCAACACTCACTACCGAGTTCCAAACTGCTTCTGGAAGCAACATCAGCACAATAACTGTTCGTCTGGAGCTTCATGAAATGGGTTTCCATGTCCGAGCAGCCGCACACAAGCCTAAGATCACCATGATCAATGCCAAGCGTCGGCTGGAGTAGTGTAAAGCTTGCCGCCAAAGGACTCTGGAGCAGTGGAAACGCGTTCTCTGGAGTTATGAATCACGCTTCACCATCTGGTAGTCCGACGGACTAATTTGGGTTTGGCGGATGCCAGGAGAACTCTACAGCATACAATGACATTCTAGACGATTCTGTGCTTCCAACTTTGTGGCAACAGTTTGGGGAAGGCCCATTCCTGTTTCAGCATGACAATGCCCCTGTGCACAAAGTTAGGTCCATACAGAAATGGTTTGTTGAGATCAGTATGGAAGAACTTGACTGGCCTGCACAGAGCCCTGACCTCAACCCCATCGAACACCTTTGGGATGAATTGGAACGCTGACTGCGAGCCAGGCCTAATCGGCCAACATCAGTGCCCGACCTCACTAATGCTCTTGTGGCTGAATGGAAGCAAGTCCCCGCAGCAAATTTCCAACATCTAGTGGAAAGCCTTCCCAGAAGAGTGGAGCAAAGGGAAGACCAACTCTATATTAATGCCAATGATTTTGGAATGAGATGTTCGACGAGCAGGTGTCCACATACTTTTGGTTATGTAGTGAATATAAGGTTGGGTTGTGTGTCTGTGTAAGTGAGCCCCTCCATCTGGGAAAATATGGCCTGCAGCGGCCAAAACATGTTTTTTGTTTTCAATAAAGAAGCAGTTTTATCAACTTCCAAGAATTTCCTCTTCACTTCAGTTTGCTTCTCAATTCATGCACATTGGTTGGAGAGTAAGGTAGTGGCAGTGTTCCTTTACTTTTGAACTTAACCCTCATTTCCAGGTCTGTTTTAGTATGTGAGGCTGATTGGTCTTTTGGGCTGTTCTCAGTATGTTAGTAGGGGCTGATGGGGTGTCTATCTGTTGCAGTATGTGAGTGGAGGCTGTCTGGAGGAGCTGTTAGCCAGGAAGGATGTGTCTCTGTGCTGGAGGGAGAAGGTGGACCTGGCCTGTGACATCACCAGGGGAATGATCTACCTGCACTACAAGAACATCTACCACAGGGACCTCAACTCCAAGGTACAGTAGACCAGGGACCTCAACTCCAAGATACAGTAGACCGGGGTCCTCAACTCCAAAGTACAGTAGACCAGGGACCTCAACTCCAAGGTACAGTAGACCAGGGACCTCAACTCCAAGGTACAGTAGACCAGGGACCTCAACTCCAAGATACAGTAGACCGGGGTCCTCAACTCCAAAGTACAGTAGACCGGGGTCCTCAACTCCAAGGTACAGTAGACCAGGGACCTCAACTCCAAGGTACAGTAGACCAGGGACCTCAACTCCAAGGTACAGTAGACCAGGGACCTCAACTCCAAGGTACAGTAGACCAGGGACGTCACTGAAAAAAAGGAAAACCCCAAGCATATCTAATTGTAGATTATTGTAACCCTTTATGTACAGGAAAAGTAGGAAGGTCCACACTCAGGAAAAACAGTAGGGGTTGTCACATCACACACTGGCTGTGTCTGAATTGGCATCCTATTCCTTATATAGTGCACTACTCTTGGTCTGGCTACAGCCACTGACTGCTCTCCTTGACATCAGGAAAACCCCTACTCTTACGTCAAATGTTTGCAACATCAGTGCTGTGGCATAATGTAGTGATCCCATTGGCTGGTCACCCTTGTAAAAGAGGTCTCCTGATCTCAATGAGACTTCCTGAGTAAATAAAGGTGAAATAAATAGTTTTTTGCTGTTGTGGACAATGCAGGATAAGGTTGAATTGAGGCTCATTCAGTAGTCAGACTGAAGCTGAGGATAACTCTCTCCCATGTGGAGAAGACAGCAGCGTAGACACATCATTTGACTCTCTCTCCCGGTTGCCAGGTTCCACAGAAGTGCAGGTCAGACATGTTATGCAGAGGAGCCGAGCAAAAGGCACAGTCCATTGTCATGTTAATGTACTCCCACTCTGAGCGGTGTTATTGTACACTCACACAGACATGTACACACACAGGAACGCACACACACAGGGTTGGGGAGTAACTGATTACTTCATGGATTACTTTTAAATTCAGAAAGGATGTTTGCGAGAGAAAAAAAATACATTATGACACCTTTCTGTTTTCTCAATGACATTCAATTCAGCATCAAATTGACCACAAGTCAGAGACCACTATGATGACACATTAAATGCATTTCATGGACCCCTTTTGTCTTCTTCTAGTGCCTCTTAAGGGGAAAGTAATCTGATTACTTTGTTGAGTTTGGATAATCCAAAAGTTACGTTACTGATTACAATTTTGGACAGATAATCAGTAACCGTAACAAACTACATTTAGAAAGTAACCTACCCAACTCTGCGCATACACACACACACTCACACACGCAGGCAGGCACAAACACACACACACATACACACACACACATCCAGACAGTCTCGCTTAGTCTGGGAAAGTAGGGTCAGTGAGCAGTGAATCAATAGTGGAAGCCCACCACCCATCCTCTCCCTGTCCCTCCACTCTCTCTCTCTTCCCCTGACCAAGTTTTTACAGCGACCCCTCTTTCTCTTCCTCGCTGCTCTAACCCTGGGAACACTGATGGTGACACTGACGTGTTCCATACTGACATTTAGCACGTCACCCAGAGAGACAATCCATTTGGCTCTGGTCTCAATGGTGACATTTTACCGGAAACTAATTGGTGTTTCTGCAACATAATACTGTTGTTTTTCCCCCCTAGACCCCCCACCGGTATCATTAGAGTTGGCACTAGGATGCAAACATCTATCTTATGACCAACAAACAATTGCTTTCTTCACAATTACAGAGTCTTTCAAAAGAGCACTGGAAGGATGTATGACAGAAGTATATAGACAAGACAAGGCATCTTCTCATGTGCAGTCTATTTCAATCGTGAAAGAAGGGACTTCGTCCCTATAAATAACATAGGATCCAAGCTAGACATGCAAGGTCATTTATTACGTCCAATAAGACATGTGCAGTGTATTTTCTGAAGAGGTAATTTTGGGTTAAATCCATTACTGTTTCAGTTAGAGACATGAGGTTTGGCTGCATAGTGCAGGTCTTCTGACATCTCTCCTGTAGAAGCAGTCATTACCAGGGTAAGGAAAGGCATGGTGGATGTAATTGCAAACATAGATCATTTTAGTGAGCTTTACAAGAGTAACTGGAATCCAGAGTTAGCTCTGAAGGTCTTGCTGTGAAGGTCTTGCTGTGAGTCCCAAATTGCACCCTATCCACTATAGTGCACTACTGAGATCATAGGGCTCTGATCAAAAGTAATTCACTGTATATGGAATAGGGTGCCATTTGGGACAGAGCCTTAGTTGCAGTTTAGGCCAATTCCTCAGAGTTCCAGTGGCACAGCCTTTTTTTATTTTCCATCAAACTCTCCATTCTAGATCTGTTACTTTCTTTGGCTCTGAGGTGAGGGCCCATGCTAAATTTAGCGGTCAGTTCTGGTGCTTGGAGCGATCTCCAGATAGCCCAATAATCACAGGCTACTGAATGGAAACGCTGGAGCGGGAGAGAGGGCCTGTGGCTCCCTCCATAATGGGATCCAGATGCTTAGGAGACGTCAGCCAGCAGGGCCCTCCCTCACTCCCTCCCTCCGCCTGTTTTCCCTCATCAGCAGTTCCTGCTCTGCTCCACACCCCTGTCTGCTTGACTCTCTGCCTGACTCTCTTTCTTTCTCTCTGCCTGCCTGTCTGTCTGCCTCTCTACACCCTAACCTCTCTGCCTGCCTGTCTCTCGGCCTGTCTGCCTTTCTGCCCTGCTTGCTTGTCTCCCTGTCTGCCTGCCTATATTTCTGTCTGTCTGCTTGCCTGCCCTGCCTGACTGTCTCTTTGCCTGCCGGCCTGTCTCACTGCTTGCCTGTCTCTCTGCCTGCCTGTCTACCTCTCTTTCTGCCAGTCTGTCTGCCGGCCTGTCTCACTGCTTGTCTGTCTCTCTGCCTGCCCGTCTACCTGTCTTTCTGCCAGTCTGTCTGCTTGCCTGTCTGCCTGCATGCTTGTTGCCTGCTTGCCTCTCTTCCTGACTCTCTCTCTACCTCTGTCTGTCTACCTGTAAGCCTGCCTGCCTGTTTCTCTACCTGTCAGCCTTCCTACCTGCCTGCCTCTTTACCTGCTCGACTTATGTAACCACTCCACTATTTTAGGTCCTCTAGAGTAGCTTACCTACTGTTACTGAGCCCAGGCCCCAGTCATCTCCCTGGTGCTCTCTCCACACTTACAATAAACAGTCTACTATGGTAATCACCAACCAAACACACAGTTGGGCTTTGTTCTCTGTAAGCATAGATGCCAAAGCAGGTGGATTATCTCCTCTGTAGCCCATCAGCAGAGCCCAGGTCAGGACTGAATCAATTAGCATGGCGGGGAGGTGATGAGTGCAGACTCCATTGAGTCAGGCTATTTAGGAGTGTCTGGTCTGGCTGTCTGTATGTAGGGTATCCCCTTCATAACGGCTTCGTCCCAAATGGCACCCTATTTCCTACAAAGTGCTCTACTTTTGACCAGAGCCCTATGGGGCACATACAGTTATATCTGCTTACACTATGGAGAGAATTAAGAGTTGTGCCATGACATGTCTGTCATCACGTTTTCTCAGCTTTCAAACCGCCTGATTTGATTTGCTCAGGTAGTTAAAGCAGTGAGTGCATCAAGTAGACCCACATACAGGTGTAATGTTGAACACATCAGGTTGAGGATCATGTGTGAGATTCCAAGGCAGAGAATGTTCAGTTGAGTTGCCTGTATATTCAGACACTTTCACTTTACTCAATATGTTGTGTTACAGTATGATAGAGCTTTATTATTGCTGTGATTGTACTTTAACAGTGTTACACTACCCTCTGCTGGCTAGCAGATGTCATAACAGAAATGCGAATGGTGGCAGCACTACTGTAGGGAAAAAAGGGACTGAATGAAATCTCCTAAATATGACATGTTGTTTATTTGACTGGATCTCACCATGTCATGTTGAAATGTTTTGGCATACTGTTGTGTATTGTGGAAAATCATATTCGATATAGTATATTGATAGATGTTATTGGTATATTGTGGACTGCCCTCTTCAATTCAAACCACAGGTTATCAATGGGATTCAAGTCCAGAGACTGAGATAGACATTGCAAAATGATTTTGTGCCATTTCTTTGTGGATTTTGTTGTGTGCTTGGGGGTCATTGTCTTGCTGGAAGATCCACTTGTGGCCAAGTTTCAGCCTCCTGGCAGAAGCAACCAGGTTTTTTGGCTAAAATGTCCTGGTACTTTGTAGAGCTCATGATGCCATTGACCTTAATTTGGGCCCCAGGACCAGTGGACACAAAATAGCCTCATAACAACAAATATCCACCACCATATTTTACAGTAGGCATGAGGTTTATTTCTGCATATGCATCTTTCTTTTGACACCAAAGCCACTGCTGTTGTGTGTGGACAAAGACCTATATTTTCGCCTCATATGACCACCTGGTTCCAATCCAAGTGCCAATGCCGTTTATCAAACTCCAGGCGTTTACATTTGTTGGTTGCTCTTAATAAAGGCTTTTTGCTTCCAACGTGCTTATTGGAAAGGAGGTGGCGTCTAATTGTAGTTTAAGGGACTAGGTGACCCAGAGATGCGAGCCTAACACTGTTTAGCTTTTCTGGAGGCTCTGGTGGCTCGTTGTGGCCCAATGCCCTATTAAGACACTTTATGTTGGTGTTTCCTTTATTTTGGCAGTTACCTGTAGCTCAGTATTTGTATTATTTGTTTAATACAGTCCTTTTTGCTCATCTTTATCAAGGGTGCCAATCATTTTGGAGGTGACTGTATATATACTAACATGATTTCTTATGTCTGTCTCTACAGAACTGTCTGATCCGTGTGACGGCGCGGGGCAGGGAGGCCCTGGTCACAGACTTTGGCCTGGCCAGAGAGGTGGTTGAGCTGCCAGTTAAAGACCCAGAGAGGAAGCTCTCCCTGGTGGGATCTGCCTTCTGGATGGCCCCGGAGATGCTGCGCGGGGAACCCTACGACCGCAAGGTACACATGTCACCAAGACCCTTCATTGGATAAGATGTGGTTAAGAACACTCTGTGGAGGCTAATGGAAAGATTTCTTATTTCTTAAAGTTTTCTCGTAGTTGGAACACAGCTCATTGTTGGTTGGATGATTGGTATGTGGTTCTGTGTTTTCATCAGGTGGACGTATTCTCCTTTGGGATTGTACTCTGTGAAATACTGGCAAGGATCCCTGCAGATCCAGAGATTCTACCAAGAACCCAGGTAAAGCTCAACTCTGTATTCACCTTATCTATGACCATAAGTGAAAAACATTTGTTAATTTTGACACACACTCACACAAACACCCATACTGTATGGAGCTGCATGAGACATACAGTACTAGACATAGATCCAGGTTTTCTGCCATGTACCCTCTGTGGAAGCTCTGCCGTATGCACCATGTGTAATGTCTGCTGTGCATGTGCGTGTTTGACAGGACTACGGCCTGAATGTGAGTGCATTTAGGGAGCTGGCGAGCGGGTGTCCTCAGCGCGTGTTGGAGCTGGCAGCCAGCTGCTGTCTGGTGAGAAGACACATTACAGTATACTTTACAGTACAGTTCATTGCTGCTTACAGATACAGTATACTTTACTGTACAGTTAATGGCTGCTTACAGATACAGTATACTTTACTGTACAGTTCATGGCTGCTTACAGATATAGTATACTTTACTGTACAGTTCATGGCTGCTTACAGATACAGTATACTTTACTGTACAGTTCATGGCTGCTTACAGATACAGTATACTTTACTGTACAGTTCATGGCTGCTTACAGATACAGTATACTTTACTGTACAGTTCATGGCTGCTTACAGATACAGTATACTTTACAGTACAGTTCAAGACTGCTTAAAGATACAGTATACTTTACAGTACAGTTCATGGCTGCTTACAGATACAGTATACTTTACAGTACAGTTCAAGACTGCTTACAGACACAGTATACTTTACTGTAGTAGATACAGAAATAGATATCATAACTTTACTGTAGTAAACGGTACATGGCTGCTTACAGCCTGATGACCAGTAGAGAGCCCTAGCTATGTGTAAACTTAAATGGAAAGTCAACATTTATTTGTCTCTGGTCTGGTGCCAGACAAACTTCATCTATCAGAAGTAGTATTTCAGGACCCATATTCACAAAGCAGTAGGAGTGCTGATCTAGGATCAGGTTCTCCCTGTCCAAAATATCTCATTTATCTTAAAGACAAGACTGATCCTATATCAGCACTCCTACTCTGAGACGGTTTGTGGATACAGGCCCTGATGTTGTTTTAAACCCCAGACAAGGCCCGGTGCTGATCCATATGTTTCCTCTGTGTGTTCAGATGGAGTCCTTCAGGAGACCGGCATTCATAGAGCTGCTGGATGAACTGGGGGAGATCGCTGAGACTCTGGAACCGCCCCCTAACCCGCCTCCTAACTCAGAGCAGACCACTGGGTGAGCAGCCTGGGCTGGCCTGGCCGAAGCCCTGCCCACTCATCTATCCTGAGGAGGACTGGAGGACTTGGGACTTTGGACCAAGTTCTGTACTTATATATGGGTTCAATCTCAAATGGCACCCTATTCCTTGTATAGTGTACTACTTTTGACCAGGGCCCTGGGTTCTGGTCAAAAGTAGTACACTATACAAGGAATAGGGTGCCATTTAGGACACAACAATAGACAGCTGCACAGGGCCAGGGGACAGAGGCACAACAGTTCCCCAGGATGACCTCTCTATAGGGGCTGACCTCTATGTCTGTGCCTACCTACACTGCACCCAAACTGCACCTACTGATGTGTAGGTAGGTGGATCTACAACTTTCAAATTAGACTGGTGGATTGATGGATGGAATAGACTATATGTGTCTTCTTGAAGAGAGGGTTTCTTTGGAAGCTGGAATGCTTTACTTAACCAGTTCACATATTTTGTGTACAGTTGAATATTTCACCTAGGGTGATAGCAGTTGGGCATAATTATGTTTAGAGGCATGTCTTACCTTATTTCAACGTTCTTAATCTTTCCGTAAATTCATCTAATATTTCTGCTTTTTGTTTTAGTTTGTGTTGTTGTTTATGTTGATGACAGTATTTTGTGTTGATGATACAGACATTAATCTGTTGATTTCTTTCCTTCCCCCGTTGTTTTCTATTGTCTTTCTAATTATATTTTCTATTTTTTATTCAACTCTACGTAAATGATCAGACGCTAGAGAGACGTCATTCACAGCTCCATGTCACCTCTTTTCAGACATGAAATTGCCTCTGTCAGTTCAGTTAGCTGAGCTGTGAATAGAGCTGTTGTTGTTCACAGCCTACAAGGAGCTCAACAAAGACATCCCCACAGCCCTGATTCTGACCTTCTGCCATCAGTTCAGCTAGCTAGCACAATACAGACGGCAGGCTGATACCAGTGGGTGGGTACACAATGTAACAGAGTTTGATTCGTAACCTCACACCTCAGCTTGAAATGTCTCTACTCGTGCTATCAAATTGATACCTTTTCTATAGGGTAATTGGCTACTGTTGAGCAAACACAGTGACACTTTACATTCAGTGGATAGGTCTAACATTAGCGGCAGTACAGTAATACTCAATTCATTGTCCCCGAGCTCACTCTAACTGGCCGAAGATCTTATTTCAATAGATCTGTATATTTTGTTCTTATATACAGTGTGACACTTCTTGTCCTTAGCATGTTTAATCATCGGTCCTATTTATTTATTTATTTTTCCACTTTTTGCAATCTACTTGTGCATATTTATATTCAGGCGTCTACAGTACCAGGTATTACTTTTGATATCCAATATCCAATCTGATATTTCTTGTCAATGAATAACGTGGCTCTAAATCTTGCCCATAGTTGCCCATAGTTTTTAACCTAAATGTAAAAAGTGCTGACACGTAGGAAATTCAGCCTATAACAACTGCTGTGAGAACTTTCCAGTGAAGTCAATGCTCTTGCCAAGTAACCAGTATTTACCAGTGAATGTGTGCTAATCTCAATCTGATTAGAGTGGAGACAAAACCAGTCAGCTGCTGTAGGAACATTGCAAATATTTTATTAGCTTTTTGACGTTGTAAAAAAGTATATTTTTATTGAGCTATTGTTTCCAAAAAATATATAAAATAATATTCCAAATTGAACAATCTAGACATTCCTCCTGCCATATAACTTTTTAGAATGTTTTTTTTTTTTTTATCCCCTCCCCCTGCTCTGCCAAATCTTTGTGATATTCTATGAAGGAAAGTCTTACTTTATTTTGACTTTGTGTGCCATTACTCTGAAAAGCTAAGTACATTTGTAAAAAATGAAAAACAGGTATTAAAAGAAAAAAAGTTATATTTGAAACATGTACATGTATTTTACAAATGAATTGCTTCTTTCAATAAAGGTTTTTCAGTACAGGGTAAGATTGAGGTGTGTTTGGCATAGATTGGATCTTACATCATCAATGGCGGTCTAGGTCCAGGATTGTAACTACTGTATAACAACCTTGTTGGGGGTCAGAAGTGGCTTTGCTTTCATGTTTGGTTACCTGGGCAACTCCCCACCTCCTCAGGTGTTCTTGACCATGCTAATCAGATTTCAGACTGGCTCTAAGCTCTTTGAAGCTTGGTCATTGGCATAGTTAATTTACTAAGTGATTATGATTATCATGTAGTGTACATAACTTTATCTGAAACATCTGGGTTGGCAGGTAGCTTAGTGGTTAAGAGTGTTGTGCCAGTAACCGAAAGGTTGCTGGTTCTAATCCCTGAGCCGACTAGGTGAAAAATCTGTTGCTGTGCCCTTGAGCAAGGCACTTAACCCTAATTGATCCTGTAAGTCGCTCTGGATGAGAGCGTCTGCTAAATGACAAAAAAAATAAAAAAAATAATAATGTTCAAAGGAAATTAAATGCAAAACGTTTTGAAACTGAAATTAGCTAGCATTCTGTACTTGTTCAGGTGGTACCTCCCTGCCTACTGAACATGATCCTAGTTCCTGGTCTGGTTGTTCACTTCCTGTTGTGTGAACAAACAAGCTGCATCCCTCTATAGTGCACTACCTTCGACCAGAGCCCCATGGGCCGTGGTCCTATGGGCGGTTGTCAAAAGTAGTGCACTATAGAGGGAATAGGGTGCCAATGTGTGAACAATCACGAAGTCATACGAGGCTCCTTTTCTTTCCAGGTGAGCTGTTATGAAGAGGTCATGTTAGTGTCACCCTTGGGAAGAGGCAGCTGTGCTGTCAGAGATGCCCATCATTCAGATGGATGTCCTGGTCTTCACCTGTCACTCGCTCACCCACACAGCTTGTGTCTCTTTCAAAATTACAATAATGAATAGATCTATACTGATGAATTATGCAGGACTGTTTCTTGCTGATGGTTTTGTCTGATGAAGCTTTGTTCCCTGCACACAATGTAAGGGCTCTGGCCCTTGAGATCAAGGCTTTCATCCCTTTCCTCTCATACAGTGTATTAGGAGCTGTTGTTGTTTATTATATCTGTGTGGTGTTAACCTGAGCAATAACACAATCTGATAGGAACCAGAATCCACTGGGACCACTGGGTTTCTCTGTCACAGAGGTTTGGTTTAATTAGCACAGTGTTGCATGGGGAAATGCATGATGGTGTTTAAGAAACATGATTCGTTAGGATGATCTGTTCCCTAATCACTTTGTATTTCATTCAGGCTGTTATATAACGCTTGACTGTACTTCTGTTAAGTATTAGCAGCACAGGAGGTTTTTGGCACCTTAATTGGGCAGGACAGGCTCGTGGTAATGGCATGGTTTGATGCCATTCCATTAGCTCCGTTCCAGCCATTATTATGAGCCGTTCTCCCCTCAGCAGCCTCCACTGAGTAGCAGGTATGGGAGTGTTGTGTAGTCATTAGTAGTAGTTTACCCAAAATTCAAGTACTGCATTATGTATTGACTTAAATTGCCCACCAGGTTGCAGTGTTTTGTAAAACATGTTTTAAAAGACCACATTTTTGATAGCTTTTCTCCTGGGAAAAAGGGCCTTACTTGGTTGCTTCTGTTCAGTTTTTTTCTTCTTCCCTCTAGTCATTTATAGCAGGGAAGTATAGTATAACTCTTGTGAAATAGTAGTGCATCAAATTTAAACCCCTTGTTTCCGTGCAAATGAGCTTTCACACAAATATGTTTACTGGTCATATTGTTTGGCTAAAAATGCCTTCATTCAACAATAGCTTCACTGTTGTTTCCCCTTTTAGCTTCTACTGGTGTTCCTCTGTGGTTTAAGGATGATGTCACTCCATTTATTGCACGTAAGTGGGTCTTTGTGAGGTTGTCCCTTGTGTGACTGTGGTGAGCCGATGCGGTAATTGTTTGCACAGCAAATATCTTCTTTTTTTTCTGCAGAGGGTTGAATAATTAAACACTAGTAGGCAATATCTCTTATTTTATTAGATTGTGCTGAGCACAAAGAACACTGGTACCATGGGTATATGGGGAGGTGTGATTCTACTTAGGAAACACTGCACACAACAATCTCCACAAACTAACGGCATAGATTCATAATATCCCCCAAATAAACCATAAAAGTGAGTTGAAACCTTTTTTTAATACGCATTGCACAAATATGTGTGCCAAAGCACAACCTGAACTGTTTTTACGCTGCACAGGGAATACACTTGTGTTTGAACTTAATAGGGCTAAGACTGGGCAGATACAGTAGAGTGAGTTTCTTGGTTTCAGTAAATCGACCAAAGCTTAATCACCACTTGAGATTGAACAGGCACTGCAGCAGTCACTTAGCATACTGAACCAAGTAAGCATTGGTATAAATATAATGTAGGCTATTGAACTGTGCATGTGTTGTGTGTGTGTGTGTGTGTGTGTGTGTGTGTGTGTGTGTGTGTGTGTGTGTGTGTGTGTGTGTGTGTGTGTGTGTGTGTGTGTGTGTGTGTGTGTGTGTGTGTGTGTGTGTGTGTGTGTGTGTGTGTGTGTGTGTGTGTGTGTGTGTGTGTGTGTGTGTGTGTGTATGTATATATGTACAGTAAGTGTGAATGTGGTAGCTAGCGCATGAAACCAGTGATCGATGAATAAGAGCCTGTAAATGTCAAACCCAGGCATGGAAACGTACTGGAAGGAAACAGCGCTGTCCCAAATGGTACCCTATTCCCTATAAAGTACACTACTTTTGACCAGGGCTCATAGGGAGCATGAACGAGTTTACCTTTATGACATCAATCCATATTCAATATGACCTCCAAGGCTCAAATAAGAGAAGTAAGAGAAATGATGCATAAAAGTTGTGTTGTTGGAGAAATCTTCAGTCATAAATCAATAAGTATAATAGTACGTTTTGGTGGGTAGAATAAGGGGAATGCTGCTAGGGTCAGGGCGTGTGTCAGCGAGATTGAATGCCTGCATGTTCCGAGCTAGAAACTGGACGTGTGTGCATGCACGTATGTGTGTGCGTGTTTGTCTGTGTTTACAAAGTAGGTCAGGGAGAGACTGGAGGGGTGTTCTGACTCAAGGTGACCCAACATTTGTAAATAAAACCAGAATCAATCAGGAAGATGGATTGGAGGGAGTGCAATGGAGAATATTTTTCTATACATCATATATGTGTATATGTATGCACACATGACTGTA